ATGATGATGATAACCCATGGATTCAGAGGGCTGACTGTATATGTAAATGTAAAAAACAATCCAGGAGGATACATATCAGTTAATAAGGGCCCCTACAGGGAACAGAATAGCACTGAGGTCAGATATGTTAAGAGTGGGGTACAATATTCTAAAGTTCATTTGCTTCTCTCAACATGCACAAAATTCATTCTCTCATTCCCATTCTCTGTCCCCATATTATTTCCCTTTCCCTCCCCACCCTCTCTTTCCCCTCTCCCTTTCCACCCTCTCTCCTCCATCTACATCTTTCTTGCAATCTGAGGAGTAATATGAAAGGCCTCTATAAATAATAAGCAGTGTAAACACACTTTTTCAACTTAGAATCCTGAGAATATACATGTCTTATGGTTTTAATAAAAACAGGAATGCATGGAGGAAAAAGAGGCTAGTTACCTTAATACTATAAAAGAAGGGGACAAGGAAATAATTCAGTGGTGGGGCATTTGCCTAGCATGCTAGAGGCTCTAGGTTCAATCCCCAATACCAAAAATATATATATATACACACTAGGAAAGAAGAGGGTTACAGGCCCATTGTGTGCAGTATGTTTTAAGAGCAATCTATTCCATACCCCACCATGTGTAATAGTAAAGCTTTTTGGTTGAAACAGACCTCACCACCAATACCAGAGGTGAAATCTAATTGTCTTAAGTCCAACAGGAAAATTCCATTCTCAACATCATACAATCAATTCAGAGATAAGAAACTATAACCCAAGTCTCAGTTCTCTGGAATCCATCTCCTGGTTTTAATTATTGATTCCAAGATAGCCCAATTACAATAACTCAGGACACTACTTCTATAATGAGGGAAAGGATGCTTTTGCTCCTGCTAGATATGAAGGATATATAGATATATAGATATATACACACACACATATATATACGTATATATGTGTATATATGTATGTGTATATGTGTGTATACATACATATAGATGTATATGTGTGTGTGTATATGTATGTATGTGTGTGTATATATATATATATATATATATATATATATATATATATATATATATATGTTTGATGAAGCTAGCCATCTTATTATAGCTATACAAGAAACCACCCTGAAGGTGGTTTCATAGAAGTCAATGCACAGGGCCAGAAAATTGTCAGAAAGCCACTCTACCTCAGGATGTATCTATTAAAGACGTCAACAAATAACCTCTTTTTTAAATTTGTTTTTTAGTAGTTGTAGATGGACAATATGCCTTTATTTTATTTGTTTATTTTTTATGTGGTGCTAAGGATTAAACCCAACGCCTCACATGTGTAGGCAAACAGTCTGTCACTGAGCTACTACACCCTCAGTCCAACAAATAACCTCTTATTGCTAAAGTCAGCTTGACTTTGGTTTTTCCAATGAAAGCATGTTTGTTAACAGGATAAGATAACTAAAACCTAAAACCTAATACCAATTTTTTTTAACCATGTTGGGGATAAAACCCAGGGCTTCTATCACTGAGCTACATACATCCTGGCCCTAACACCTCCTCTTAATCTGATCTCTTAAGACAATATAAAATTCCATTATCTTTAGCTATGATAAACAGAGTACTCTAAGATTTCATCTCACTCTAGTCAGAAGGGGAGCTATCAAGAATACAAACAATAGGGCTGGGATTGTGGCTCAGCAGTAGAGCACTCACCTAGCACGGGCGGGACCTGGGTTCAATCCTTAGCTCCACATAAAAATAAAGGCATTGTGTTGTGTCCATCTACACCTAAAAAATAAATATTAAAAAAAAGAATACAAACAATAATAAGTGTTGGCGAGGATATGGGGGAAAAGGCACAATCATACATTGCTGTTGGGACTGCAAATTGGTGCAGCCAATATGTAAAGCAGTATGGAGATTCCTTAGAAAACTTGGAACGGAACCACCATTTGACCCAGCTATCCCACTCCTCGGTGTATACCCAAAGGACTTAAAAACAGCATAGTATAGGGACACAGCCATATCAATAGCTAAATTATGGAACCAACCTAGATGCCCTTCAGTGGATGAATGGATTAAAAAATGTGGCATATATACACAATGGAACATTACTCAGCATAAAAGAGAATAAAATCATGGCATTTGCAGGTAACTGGATGAAGTTGGAGAATATAATGCTAAGTGAAGCAAGCCAATCCCACAAAACCAAAGGCCTAATGTTTTCTTTGATATGAGGATGCTGACTCATAATGGTGATGGGGGGAGGGGGGAGCATGGGAGGAATGGAACTTTAGATAGTGCAAAGGGGAAGGAGGGGGTAAAGGGGAAGGAATGATTGTAGAATGAGTTAGACATCATCAACCTAAGTACATATATGAAGACACGAATGGTGTGAAAATACTTTGTGTACAATCAGTGACTTGAAAACTTGTGCTCTATATATGTAATATGAATTGCATTCTGCCATCATGAATAACAAATTAGAATAAATAATTTAATTTTAAGAATTCCATTATCTTTAGCTATGATGACTTATTTAACTATTCCTTACTGATGACAGGATACTTGAAAAAATTACCATAAATAATCCTCAATGAACACCATGTACATATGTGGGGGTTTCTAGACATCATTATTATTATTATTATTATTATTATTATTTCTAAAGGTTCCTAGATATGAAACTACAAGGTCATAGAGTACTCCTGCTTCTCTGCCTGACTTCTCATGAATGCATTATTCACAATAGTCCATTAACCCCAAAAGGAAAAACCAGCCCAAGAAGCAGACTGCACAGAAAATCAGGAAAAAAACTTTACACTAGCTGGATTAGAATAAACCCTTAGTGAAGGATTTTGAACTGACAAGCAAAGATATTAAAAAACAAGGCATTAGTAGCACATGCCTAAAATAGGAGGATCACTTGAGCACAAGAGTTCATGACCAGCCTAGGCAACATAGTGAGATTCTGTTAAGAAAAAAAAGGAAGACAGAAAGAAAAAGATGGTTTAAGTTACTTACTACTCCGACAACAATACTTTGATAAAAACAAATCCATAAAGGGCCTATGGGTTAATTATGAGTTGTAATATAACCACATATAATTCAATATCTAACTTTCCAGAGTTAAACAGAAATCAATTAAAGGTATTTGAGTTGGATATTTATGGACTTCCATCATCACCATAACTATCAATATCACAACCATTTATATCTATGTCCTATCCCCCACTTGTCCACTGGGTCAAAATTCCACAGGAAATAAGATAGTCACAAGGTAATCAATCTCTCAATTCTTTCAGCTCTTTACTCAATTAGCTTCTCAGTGAGGTTTTTCCCAGACCAATTATTGTAAAATTACAGATCCCACCCATACTCGTCATTCCTTTCTTATATTATTCTCCATAGGATTTTCACCTTCCAGCATACTACACATTTTACTTTTTGCATATCTCTTTGCACTAAAACGTAAGCACTAATAGCAAAGAGATTTTTCTGCTTTATACATTGTTGGTATCTCTGTTAAGTATTTGTTGCATTAACACAGGGACGGCTGGTGATACAGCTCAGTGGTAGAGGACTTGCCTAGCATGGGCAGTGTCCTAGGTTCGACTCCCAATCATCGCAAAAACCAACAGGGCTGGGGATATACTTCAGTGGGAGACCCTGGGTTCAATCCCCAGCACGGAAAGTTAAATAAATGGAGACAACTATGTCAGGGAAATCTGAACTGCCCTACCCATCTGGACCTCCAACATCCTTTATATGGTCAGTAAACCATACGAAGTCTAAACTAACACCCTAAAAATTTTATTGCCATCTCTAACAGGAAGTAATATCTTTACATATCAAATCTATCCAGAGAACAAGTCAGACCCAACCAGAAGAAAACTGAATATAGACTGAAGAAACCCAACACAACTTGCTAAACCACAGATACCAGGTTTTTTCCCTAGACTTTTGTTCGGTAAACATGGAGTGTCTCGATTATAGGAATAGCAAAAGATCAGAAATGAAAGCTAGTTCCAACCAATAGACAACCAGTCACACACGCAGGGGGCGGAAGGGGCGTGGAAGCACAGCTACAGACTGATAAAACTCCGAGAAGGCCTACCCGCGGTCTGTGGTCCTCTTCCCGGAGGGAACAGGAAAAAGAGACAGTCCATTTCTACGAATCTCCCAAACAGCGCAGGGACCTGCACCATAGGTCTGAACACCTCCAAGCGTCGGAAAAGCTTAAAATGGCATCCCCCGGGGTGGGAAGCTAAGGGAAGCAGGAGTGGCGAGGGTACGTTACCCTGAGAAGAGCCAGTTCAACGGGAATTCTCCAGCTGGAAGTTTTGTGGAACGACACAACACCAAGGCCTGTAACCCGGGCATCCAGGCTAGGCACCAAATCAACCAAATTTACTCCGGCGCTGCAGAGTACACAAGGGAGTTTCACTGGCGCGCACTGTACACATCAGCTCTGGGAGACCGTCTTTTCCCTGGCCCCGCCCCCGAATGACAGAGCTCGCGCGGCGTTGTAGCCCTCCCACCACAATCCTTTCCGCTGGGGCTGGCGCGCCGTGGCACGCATGCGCAAATGTTGGGTGCCGCTGAGCACGTCGGGAAGTGTAGTCACTGTGCAGGTGCCGGTGAGCCGCCAGAGTCCTACATCCCGGCGGAATCCGTGGAAGTCTGAGCACTCCTACCACCCTATCCTTATTCCCATCTTCACACCTGTCTAGTCACCTCACACGCACGCTCCATCCCCACGCGCTGGGCTTCTGTCAGGGCGCGTCCCGAGGGACGGCTCCAGACCCCTTCGTCCCTTCAGCTGGCTGTACCGGGGAGGCGGGGTCCACCCCCCGCCCCCCGCCGTCAGCCTCCCCGCCCCCTCCCTCCCCTCCCCACTGGTGTCGGGCCGGTGCCCGAATAGAGGCAGCGGCCGCAGAAGGGGCGGCGGCGGCGGTGGGCGCCGCAGGCGATGCCCCTGCCCCGCTGCTCCGGCGGGGGGCAGTGCGGGCAGCGGCGGGGGAGGAGGCGGGGGGCGGCGGCTGCGGCGGCTGCAGCAGAGGGGCCGAGAGCTGGCGGCGGCGGCGGCGGTCGTGAAGGGCATCGGCGGCGGCGATGATGGCAGAGATGATGTGAGTGCCTGCTGACTGGGGACCCCAGGGCTGCGGAGCCTGAGGTGGGCGGCCCGGCTGCGTGCGGGAATAGGAGGCCCGAGGGTGGCGGAGGGATGCTGTGTACCCTGTGCAGAGCCGGGAGCCGCCGTCGCCGCCGACGACGACGACTGTCGGGCACAGGCCAGAGCCATAGGCTCCTAGCGGATGTGAGGGTCCCGGGCGGGAGCACTGCAGGCTGAGGGGCGTCTGCGATTGTTCTCAACACCCCTCCCCCACCCCACCCCGTGTGTCTGTTTGTCACTTGCAGCTGAAGATGGAAAGAGCCAGGCGGAGGGGAGGCGGCGGCGGCCGCGGCCGTGGAGGCAAGAATATAGGGGGCTCTGGCCTAAGCAAGAGTAGACTGTATCCCCAGGCCCAACACTCTCACTACCCCCACTACGCTGCTTCAGCCACCCCTAATCAGGCTGGGGGCACAACCGAAATCCAGGAGCTGGCCTCCAAACGAGTGGACATCCAAAAAAAGAGATTTTACCTAGACGTGAAGCAAAGCTCCCGGGGCCGGTTCCTAAAGATAGCCGAAGTCTGGATAGGGAGAGGCCGGCAGGACAATATCAGAAAGAGTAAACTGACCCTATCCTTGTCTGTAGCAGCGGAGCTGAAGGACTGTTTAGGGGACTTCATCGAGCATTACGCCCACCTGGGCCTGAAAGGCCACAGGCAAGAGCATGGCCACAGCAAAGAGCAAGGTTCCAGGAGGAGGCAGAAGCACTCAGCACCCTCCCCGCCAGTCTCCGTTGGGTCTGAAGAGCATACTCACAGTGTCCTCAAAACAGACTATATAGAGAGAGACAATAGGAAATATTACCTAGACCTAAAGGAAAATCAGCGGGGTCGCTTCCTAAGAATTAGACAAACCATGATGCGGGGAACTGGCATGATAGGTTATTTTGGCCACAGTTTGGGCCAAGAACAGACTATTGTCCTCCCAGCACAAGGAATGATTGAGTTTCGTGATGCCTTGGTTCAGCTGATTGAAGACTATGGCGAAGGGGACATAGAAGAACGAAGAGGTGGAGATGATGACCCACTTGAACTCCCAGAGGGGACTTCTTTCAGAGTGGACAATAAAAGGTTCTACTTTGATGTGGGCTCTAATAAATATGGAATTTTCCTGAAGGTAAGTGAGGTGAGGCCACCTTACCGTAATACTATTACTGTTCCATTCAAAGCTTGGACAAGGTTTGGGGAGAATTTTATCAAGTATGAAGAAGAGATGAGGAAAATTTGCAACAGCCATAAAGAAAAGAGAATGGATGGCAGAAGGGCCAGTGGTGAAGAACAAGAATGCCTCGACTAGAGTGAAATTGAACTCCATCAGGCAAAATTTAAAATCATAAATTGGCTAAAAGTACTGATCCATAATCATTTGAAGAAGTTTTTCCTCTTTTTTGGCCCTTTGTTATTAGTAATACCTCTAGTAGTTTATACTTCAAGAAGTCTGATTTTCATGTTATGTTATACATAGATCACTATAATTCTTATGGGAATTCTAACCTTCCCAGAGCTAAATAGTTTAGCTGCTTCAACTGCTCCAGACTATTGAAGTATGCAAATCAGCACAAAATGTGACATTCTGACCTTCTAAATATCATAACTAAGATTTATATTGCACTATGACATAATCCTGAAAAAAAGATACATATACTTATTATGGAAGTGTGAATTTCTATTTAACAAATTTCCAAAACAGTATTCCATTCCTATATTATTAAAAACTGCTAAGCTTACCTGTAGGACAGTTACCACAGAAACAGAAACTTTATATCAAGTATCATCATTATATTTATTTATAAAAGAAAAAATAGAAATATATTGTCCATTGGATAATAATATTGAACAGTACCATTAAAGGATCAAATCTTATTAGATAATTAAACCTTTAATATTCCTTAAGAATTAACTAGAGTATTCTATAATTTTCAAATTTTGTGGTAACCCTACAGTTTACAGTTGCCATATCAAAGCCATGGGAGCATTTTAATTGGGTATCCTAAGCTAGTTAAAATCTTATCTTCACTTCTGTTTGTTGCACCATATAGTTGTATTGATTTTCTAACAGTTCAGGAATTTCATTTACATTACAATTGAGTGGGAGGCTTCATCCAGTGGCTTTGCTATGGAAATTTTGGTGTTTTAGCATTTCGTGCTAGTTTGAAGATTGTGATAGGTTTATCCCTAAAATATGTCATGAATTCAAGGTATTATATTTTATGAGTTTTGTTTAACTACTTCAGGTCACCAGTTACCTAATATAAAACTATATCTGTAATAATATACTTTAGTAGTGCTTTTGCAGTTGCCACCCTTAAAACCACATCAAGCTTTCAGTATAAACCAGACTTTTACAGGTGTTTTAATTCCAAAAGGGGAAGTAAAAATATTCTTCCTAAAAAGACTTTAGAATACAATTTTTTTTTCCTGGGAAAATATTATTTGAAAATTAGATTCGTTGTAAACATATTTGAAAGGAAAATTCAGGCATTTTCCAAGGTGCTCTTTAAGGTACTTAAAAGAGGTTTACTTTACACAAGACTCATCCCTTTATCTGTATTAAAAATTACTTTCCAGAAAGTGCCACATCAATTTTTCAACACCTAAGCAATTTTTAAACAAGTGGATATAGTGTATACGTGTACCAACCCAACCTGTATTAACTGAAATTTCATCTGTTAAGCTGCACTTTATTCTGAATGAAATTGTCTTTTATCTTGGCTTTATTCACCTCCCACATAGTAAGTTCATATAATCATGTTCTAAGAGCCAGAACACTGATTTCAACCCCCAAATATAGCTCTCATTGATGAGAGCTGGCTGCATGGATTGAGGTCAGAATGTAGCTCTTTGATAAGCTATAACTCAAAATTATTTAAGTTTTTTCCTTCAGACTTTGTCTGCAAATGCATTTAAGTTTCTAAGAAAACTTTAAGGTATGAATTGAGAAAATTAATTTTATTGGTTTATGTCACATAAGAACAAGCGATCAGTAACTCAGACATATATACTGGTATTGGTTTGCAGATTATATTTCACATTTCCTCAAGTAGTATGAGGAATCTCAGTTTATTATAATTGTGGATCATCTGGATCACTATGGAACAACTGAAGGTTAGAAGATGATGTTAATAACTAAAGTTAATAGCACATGGTGGGTGTTGAGACAATAAAAGTAGCAAGGATTTTTAAACTGTAAAATAACATAACTTTGTAGGCTTGCTAAAAAAATAGTTTTTCGTTTATGAAGGAGTGATGTGCACTTGAATTACTGTACTACTGATTGTTATTGCTGCCCATCATAGTGCCTATTAATAATCAACCTGTCAGATTTTGGCAAACTGGAGCTGTGAATATTACAAAATTTGATTATTCCTATCACTATTGCTATGAGTGTATGCTCTCTCTTAAAACCTTCATTTTAAAAATATTTATATCCATTAGGATTAAATGATTTCTTTTTTGGTCTGATAAGATTTGAGTATGTGTGTGTACGTATACATATATATGTATATATACACAATACTATGTCAGACTTAAATATTTTAATTCATTGTATATAAAATTATTAGTTTAATTTTGCATTAATTATTTAAGTAAGGAATTAGTTAAGCAGCCAAATTTTCTGCCTTGTATGTATACTTCAAAGTTTTTACCATCTCAAAGCTGCAAATTGGATAGATGGATATATACCGGCAATTGAATATACTCTTAGAATCATTAAGGCTTCTACCAGTCCTTTTGTTTCACTTTTTCATAGTTAACATATTCATTGAGAAATGAAAATAATGCTATGATTTTTGATACTAAAATATCCCAAGAATTCATTAGCCATAATTAAGCATGATCCAGTTCAAAACTCTGGTATTAGGACATGTAATGCCATGTATCTTATTAAATAAGCTACTAGTCTTATCTGTGCAATATATATTTTATTGTCATTTGTAACATAAATGGAGCTGCAAGTATACATGGTATTCCTCAAAACAATAGGATCTTTGCCTTGAAGACATTAAACTCTTAAGGCAACTGGACGTTGAAGTAAAAAATGAGCATTGAAGTTAGTAACCAAAATTACTTGTTCACTGCATAATGCTAAAACACTGATGATGTTTGCACATAATAATCCAAGCATAATGTGGTACGGACTCAAACTGTAATAGTATAAGCTAATAGTATGAAATTTGGAAACGGGTCCTCATAATTGTTGGCAGTGTGCTCCTAGCAATTGAAAGCAGCACTAATTTGTTGCTTATATGCAAAAGATGCAATGTATTATAAAGGTATTAAAGTTCTGCCACATTTTATAATTTTCCTTATTAAAGCCCCAAACTGCCATGTCCCTTAAACTTGAGTCAAACACAAGCATATTTGCACTAAAGAGCATGGCCAAAAAAAAAAAAAAAAAAAATGACAGGGTGGAAAAGCTAGTTGGAACCTCTTGAAAAAGTTGGTTCTAATAAGAGAATTTCACATTTGTCTATTTGAAAGCTATATGGTCCAGGCAGACAATCTGTCAGTTCACTAATTTAATAATGCACTTTACCTTTTGTATATAGAAGATGTACATTTATGCCACTTGACAGGTGGGATGTGTTCCAGTAACTACGTAGTTAGAATCTGTAGGGTGATCTCTTGCATGCATATGTTTGTGTTGGAACTGTTGTTGTAACAGGTTTCCATTATATCAGTGTAATGGAGAAGGGTAGAAGATGCTTTTGAAATAAATCCCAATACATTTAACAAAGAATTTTAAAGTAGAGTTCATATTTGTATTCTTAAAGACTATTTCTAGTCCAGATTAGTATTGCAGTTCAGGCTGTATCTATTTGAAGACACACCCTCCATAATACTCTGAAAGTTAATTCTGGGAATTTTTCCAAATTAAAAAAAATTTTAATGATTCTGTTTTATTCTGATTCAAGTAACTGATAATAAGAACGTGATTCTATACTAAAGTTACAAGTATGGGTTAGCTGGTATTTTTTAAACACTCAGACTAAAGAAATAATGTTTCAAGTTAAAGAAGTGCAAAGAGCCTAATAAGTTACTAAAATAAATACAACAAATCAAAATTTGCAGAAGTACTAACCCTTCGCCAACTAAAAAGGGTACTGGAGGAATTAGTGTATCTTTCCCTCCTAAAAACTTCCTAAGATGTACATGTGAAAAGTAGATAATTGTTGCTTAATAATAGGTTGTATGTACTTTACTGAAAACACTGTGTACTAACAATTCATCAAAAGTGTGCTATATTTACTGCATTCATTTTATATCTATAGATAAGAATACATTATATATAGTCATCCTATCTTAATATAATCATGTATTTATATTGTAATTTTGCAAATATTTTCAGTAAAATAAACATTTATCTCAGCTGCACAGTTTGAAGAGGATGAAATTGAAATACACCCTCAGATACTCATTTTTAATAAGCAGCTACCATTGAAAGCTGATGTATGTATTGTCATTCCTTTAAATTTTGTTTTATAGTTATTTTAATATTTAAATGAGTAAGATTTAACTTGAATTTTTGAGTGGTTTTCTAAAAATAATTTTTTCATGTGTGAGATATTTTTGTCCTGCTTATTTCCAAATGTCTTTCATTGAAACTATGAAATCTTATTCCAAGCTTTATGTGAGAGCTTTGCTTAGTCACCACTTAGTTTGAAATCGTCTTTACCAAAATACCAAACACCTTTGGCAGAATATTTAACAAAGAGAAGTTGACACTGATTCTATGCCTATAAAATAATGCAGGTATGATATTTATCACTGCCAGATAAGATTCTTAAAATCTTTCTGAAGATTCCTTAAAGATTTCTTGACTTTCATAGAGAAATGATGGCTGTTGGCTAGCCCATGAGAGAGGGAATAAAGATACTAGCATGCTGTTGAGACAATCCATAGTCCACAACACTATAGCAATGAAGTACAGGAAAAATGTGTTTCCCAATTTAACATCAAGTGAATATTGTGGTTTTAGATCACAGTAAATCTGTCATAAAGAAAATATACCCAAATTTATGTTAGGTAGGTTTTAGAAAAATAATAGTATATTTTCTTGTATGATGGAAAATATCAGCCCATGTTCTTACTTTGACATTACATTTTAAATCATTTAAATTTATTTTAGTAGTGGATTCTAATATTTTTGTAATAGGGAAAAATATGCATATAGTACAAAATTTAAATGCTACAGATGGGTAGACAATGAAAAGTAGTAACCAATGTTATTCAATTTCTTGTGTATCTTTCTAGAGTTACTCTGCATATACAAATGTTTATATACATAAATTATTCTTAAACATACAAATTAAAACATATACTTTCCCATACCTCGTGGTATTACTTTAGATCTGGCATTTAAGGGATTGTTTTTATTTAAATTTATTTAAATATCATACTTGACCTAGTTAACATGTCATTTAATTTACATTATATTATTACACCAACAGAATGTCAAGGAAATTTTGAATAAATTCCTTTGGTAATTACTTAAAATACAAATATATATATATGTTTTTTAATTTTTAAAATTTACAAATATTCTCTACCCTATTCTTAACCATCTTGCCTTTCTATATTCCCCCTTTTCTTTCCTCAAAAAGAAATTTTTGGTCTTTTTTCCTAAAGTAACACAGTTTAGGAGTAGCAAGATATTAAATGATGTAACCAAGTGTTATTTTAAGTTAACTACATTCTATAATGAGAAACACTCATATTAAAAGCTTTAACAAATTGTAATTTTCAGTTTTTACTAATCCTGTTACTATTATTTTTTAATCCAAATACCTTGCCATTGTAAGAGCCAATGAGTATTAGAACTATATTGAAAGATTATGACTTTTGAAATCATTTGATTATTAATATAAAGCCTTTATCATAATAATATGAAGGGTATAAATGACTGCATCAAATCCAAGTATATGCAAAGAAATAACATTGGTCCTAATTGTTTAAAACATTATTTTTTTTTTTTTTTAATTGAAGAACCCAGTATCTGTCAGAAATCCTTGGGATCAGAAGGTGATGATTTGGAAAAGAGTAAAAATGGAGAATTTGAGAGTTAAAATTACCTTCTCCATTCTCTGCTGGAAGAATATTAAATTAATAATGTAATTGTATTAAAATGAAGTTAGCATTATTACTAAACCTGAAAATAAAAGCAAAATTACTTTAATAATTTCCTGAACTACCCCTCCCCCTGCCATATCATTTTATTTTGATCTGGCTTCCCTACCCCATTACTATCCTGGGGTCTAATACCCAGGACCTCATGCATGCTAGGCAAGTGCTATACCACTAAACTACACCGCCAACCCTCAAGTATGCATATTAAGATCACTTTTATATTGACCATGAAAAAAAATATTAAATGAAAAATTAAAGATCCCATACTTGACCCCTTCAATCTTATAAATTAAAGTAGCCAGAGTAAAAAATACAAGCCAGCAGATGTGGCAGCTCACACCTAAAATCCCAGTGACTCAGGAGACTGAAGGCAGGAGGAATGCAAGTTTGAGGCCAGTCTCAGCAATTTAGTGAGGCCCTAAGCAACTTAGTGAGATCCTGTCTCAAAAGTATAAAAAAGGCCTGGGGATGTGGCTCAGTGGTAAGCACCTAAGTACAAAAAAAAAAAAAAAATACGATTAGAAAAATTTTTTAATGTGGATTAAGAAAGAATATTTTAATGGATTGGTATCTGTAAATTTTATAAAAATACTATAAGGTGGAAATTTTTAAGGCAATGATTTAACCTTTATAATAATTTTTCCATGATTGATGGCATTATTTTCTGTTTATCAAATGAGAAAGGTATTATTAGAGGACAGGATGCTCATAAACATACTTTAAATGCATAAGAGTTTCTTTTCTTATTTTTTATTGGTGCATGATAATTATTCATAATAGTGGGATTCATTATGCCATATTCCTACATGCCCAAAACATAATTTAATTAATCTCATTCCCTAGTATCTCTCTTCTTTCTCTCCCCTTCCTCCCCCTAATCACCATAATCTACTACTCTCATCTCTCTTCTATTATTTTTAATTAGTGCACTATAATTATATACAAAAGTGTAGCATTCATTTTTTGTATATTCATACATGAATATATCATAATTTGGTATATTTCATTTCCCCTCTACTACTTCCCCATGCCCTTCCCTTTTCCCTCCCTCTCAATTCCCTTCCTCTTCTCTGTTGATATCCCTTCTATTTTCTTGAGATCCCCTTTTATCCCCCACCCCTGTAGTTTCCATATGTAAGAGAAAATACTTGATCCTTGGCTTTTTGAGTCTGGCTTATTTCACTTAGAATTGTTCTTTTGATTATGGATAACTCATTCATCTTGATCATCATAATCATTGATTATCCTTTACAGAATCTGTAGGGTTGACTTAAAAAATATCCAGGCATTTATTTGTTTAAACTTAAAAATGCTGTGTTTGTATATTTCTCCTTATTTAAAGAAGGGGTCAAAAAGGAAGGTAAATTCACTTTCGAGAATGAATTTTGGCCAGGCATGGTGGTACACACGTGTGATCCCAGGAAGGTTAAGGGGGAGGCTGAGTCAGGAAACCAACAAGTTTGAGGTCAGCCTGGACAACTTAGACCCTGTTTCAAAATAAAAAGGGCTGGGGATGTAGCTTAGTGATAGAGTACTTACCTAGCATGAGCAAAGCACTGGGTATAATCCCCTATACTGCAAAAAAAATTTTAAAAGAATGAATTTTGCTTGAATTTAAGCCAAAAAAGTTACCAATTCCCCCATCCCTAGTTACGAGTTTTCCATATTTGTGTTTTCTGGTAAATTATGTTTTCCATATTTTATCTTTTTTTAAGTATCCCTTGTGAAAAATTGCTTATTCTTGAGGCCAGTGATATTCACCAGTAAATTAAGGCATAATGAACTAGTGCTGCTGCATCAAAGTTACTTTGTTATATGAAGAAAATAACTCATTTTAAATGGAATATATAGTTTCTTCCTTAATATTTTTTTACTTATTTCTAAGATTGAATAGCAATTGTCCACCTTCTCAGCTTCTTATACTTAATTTCTGAAAGAGCTGTTTTATTCACAGTTTTCATTTATCTAGGAAGTAGCAGGGTAAAGAAAAAGGAAAATAAACCCTAAGAAATATCTAAAAGTTAGAGTTGCTCAAAGAGGGGAAAAGGCTTCTGCTGATTTTTGTGTTTATTGGACTAATGGTATAAATCTGATTTTAATCTGTTTCAAATCAGAATTCCTATAGTATTTCAAGTTACTATATTCAGAAATATTTAGCATTTTATTTTTTTTAGGGAAAATAGTTCTGCAGGATAATACTCTTCTTCAGGATTTTACTTATTATTTGTTATGGATTTGATGAGAATTATTTGTTATGGATTTGATGAAGTTGTTACACAGAAGGAGCAAATAGAAAAGAAAAAACAAGTAGTGGCTGATGATTTTGTTTGTGTATAATATATTAATCTAACAGAAATGAGAGGAAAAGAGTCATTCTCAAAACTAAATATTTATTTCACCTTTAAAAGAGAGTCTCAGAAAAAGCAGTAAGACCTAATTCCACCAATATTGGACTGACTCTGAGTAAGTCATTTAACTTCTGTTGGGTGGTTTCCTTACATGAAGAAGGAACAACATTGGGCTAGAAGCTAAGGATCCCTCTTACTCTAAAACTTTTAAAATTCTGAATCATTAGAGTGTGAAAAAAAATTAGATGAAGTATATCACAATTGGAAAGTATAAGAGATTCTCTTTATATATTAAAAGCAACTCTAATAAAGCTGAAAACTGTGATGATACCCAAAGGATTAACACAGCAATGTAGTTCTTAACATTATGGATCTCTTTACCCAACACCAAGTTATTGTGTACTAACTAAAAATCTAACATATACTTTATTTTTTAAAAGAAGTATTTTATTATCTATACAAAGTCTCATTCTTGGAATACTGTGTTACTGAAATAACCATGATTTACACTGCTAAACAGTAAACTACAACTGTCATTGTGGTGGTCCCTAAAAATTAAGTACTGCATTTGGTCCTTTTTTCTGTGACCATATTGAATAGCATACCTTTAAAATGATGTTTAACAAAGAACAACAGGAAAGACACTGATCTGTGAAATGTCGTTCTGTTTAGAAGGACCTGTAACTACTAGGGTTTGCAAAAATTAAACATTCTAATGCTTAATTGTTTAGTGTGGGAAAACAACAAAGGCTGATGATTGAGAAAGAGAAACAACACACAGGTTTTTGTGATGGAGGCATTTATTTAGGTACCCCAGTCCTCTGCTATACGATGCTACCATCACTGTCTGTAGAAAGTAATAAAAAAAAAAAAATGGCACCTTTCTCCCCAGACCTCTTTTTTGGTGTCTACTTGTTTATCAAACAGTTTTTAAGAGTAATCAAAGTGTATTTGAAATGGATATGCACATGTATTTTTATTATTTCAAAAACAAGTATATACATAAAATCCCATTACTGAAATATTCCATAAGACAAATAATCTTTGGCTAGTAGTATTGACAACAGCAATTTGATTGGTCTGTTTTCAACAAATTCTATAGAATGAATTGGCTGAGGTAGATTATTTTTTCTCTTTTCCCTCTTCTTAAAATAGCAGATACATTTTATGTTCTTGATTGCTTCTCTTTACTGCTATTTGAAATCTAAGTGGGATATGAAAGAATAGTTTAGTTTGGCAGTTGCTGTTTTGCAGAGATTTTCTTCAGCTTCCTGTCAAACATTCCAAACAACTTTACCAAAAGAATGTTATCTAAATGCAAAAACTACCCAGCTAGTTGAAACTACAGAACCAGAAGACAATTTAGGAGTAAGGATAAGAATAAGTTCAGACCAACTTGTATTTGGGGCAAAAATGGGAGTTCATAACCCACTTGAATCAAATGTATGAAAGATGATATGTTATGAGCTTTGTAATGTTTTGAAAAACCAATTAAAAAAAAGAATAAGTTCAGACACCTAGATTCAGAACATAACTTTATAATTTACTGACTTACTTCAGACATCACTGCATTTCATTTCTAGATTCTACAGACTAGCAGTGTGATTTATGCCAAATGTTTGAATTCCAGTAGGAAAAAAAATCTATTATTGCTTAGTATATACTCCAAATGGGCTATGACATGCTATAGTCAGGTGTAAATATAGAATCTGAAATTTCCATCAGTCTAATAATCTCTTTTTCCCTCCCATACACTGTACCCTATTGGAAAGTGGTTTAATTTCTCTCACCACCACCAGAGCCCCATTTCATCATATTTCTTTCTCAGATAACAATTGGCACATAATAAAGACTGGAGGGCTGGTGTTGTGGCTTCATGGTAGAGTGCTTACCTAGCATATGTGAGACACTGGATTCGATTCTCAGCACCACATATAAATAAATAAAAATAAAGGTCCATTGACAACTAAAAAAATATTTTAATTTTTTTTTTAAAAAGACCAGAGCTCATTTTCAAAATTTCAAAATCCATAGAATATAAGAAAGACATCCTGCTACTTAACTAATCTCAACACTCTTATCATATTTCTATATAATAATTTAAGATGAATAAGTAAAAAACAGATTTCACTTGGAATGATAGGAATTGGAAGTTCAGTTATTCCCCACTTTTCAGTACACAATTGATCTTCAGAAAATTATTTTTACTATCATGATTGACAGGTAATTTCGGAAATGAAAAGTTGCTCCATGATTTGCTTTTTTTTTTTTTTTTTTTTTTGTAATAGGGATTGAACCCAGGGCGCTTTACCAATAAGTTAGATCCCCAGCTCCCTTTCTTTTATTTTTTGTTTTGAAACAGGCTTTCCCTAAGTTGCCAACACTGGTCTTAAACAAGACTGGTCTCAACCTCTCAAGCAGCTGGGATTACAGACATGCCACTGCATCTGGCTATCATGAGCATTTTAAAGAGAAGAGGGTAATAAAAAGAAAAACCAATTAAGATTTGTTAATAAGTGTTATTGAATACTTTGTACTAGGCATTTCTGGGCCCCTTTTATCTACTATTTCTAATCCTCATAACAACCCCATTATCACTCCCATTTTTATGTAATTTCCAGAGGCTTAGAAACAGGTTCACTGTTTCAGAACTAATATGTTCTAACCAAAATAAACACCGAAGCCAAAGATTATGCTTATTCAGTTAAGCCGGGCTGCCTTTTAAGACTTACTGTGAAAATGATTCCCCCCCAACTCTAATAAAGTACAATCTAAACCCCCCCCCATTGTCATTCTAAATAAATCTGCCTCAGATTACTGGGAATTATTTTATCAAAACTACTCCCTATGCACGGGACTGTCTCACCAAGAGACATTTGCTTATATAAGAATTTATTCAACTGTTTAAAGTTGCTGCTAATAAATACAACTTATTTGATCTTTAATATAGTTTACAGATTGAATCTGTAATCCTGATCAACTTCCAAATAAATGTCAGTCATTTTTAAAAGGGATCAGATGATAAGACTGCAGATGAATCATTTCAATTTTATTTGTAAGGGCAAGGAAGAGACAAATTACTATTCGTTGTGGGTCTATGATACAAATGGCTATGTTAAATTATTGGAAATAAATTTTATCAAGATTATTGAGAGTTATGTTTATTTCACACAACTTTTTCCTGCCATCTTATTGATTTCTCACAACCTTCCTGCCATGGCTTCCTATGTCATTCTGTTCCTTTTCATATTTAATTACCAAGTTTCCTCCTCTTTCTCAACTCCAAAATAAACTGGGATAACTGCTTTACTTACAGATATGTATTTTTCTGCATTACTCCAGGACAGGACATTAGTGTGAATAAGAGCACTTCTAGGGTATGTTTAACCATAGATTGCTAGCCCTCAGCTCCAGAGTTTCTGTTCAGTAAGATTGGTAGGGTGGGGAGAGAACCAAGAATTTGCATTTCTGACACATCCCCTAGAGAGTGGATGCTGCTGATCTGAGGACCATACTTTAAGAGCCACTGTTCTAGGCTGATGAGTTACAAAAGACAAAAAAGGAAAATTTTTTAGTCAAAACAACTGTAGTATCTTGGTAAAAGATTCTGTTACTTATTCTGCCTTGAGAATTTTACAAATCTTAAGCAACTTTTTTTTTAATACATTGACTAGAGTTTTTCTTCCCTTTTCATCCTTTCATCATATTTAACTTTCTGATTTCCCCTCACTTTTCTACAGCTATCTTGAGAAAAATCTGGTAGCATTTAATTATGAAAACTTACGTGAAAAACTTACATTTTAAATGTATGGAGACAAGCATATTTTTAATTTAAGTAATTTTGGCATATAAATCTTTGTAAAGGAAAGTGAATGATTTTAGTAAATCTTAGTAAAGGAAAATGAATTGTTAACCAAGTTTAGTGAATATTAACTATTAGAACTTGAAGAGACCTTGGAATTACTTTAGCCCATTTACATTTTGTGACACATAATCTATAGCTCAAATGATTCAGAAATTACTAGAATAGTGTAAAAATAGAATCTGAAATTTATTTCAGGGCAAGTAAACAAAATTTAAAGAATGCTTAAAATGCTAATTATCTCAAGACAAGTTATGAGAAATATATAGCTTCAAAGCACATAGTATTTTCACCATCTTCCTATATCCTTCCTTTGTAGGATGGAGGAACTATATACTACACTGTAGATATGGTACTTTCTTAGATCAACAGCTGGACCCACTGGTTTAAATTTAGAGATATTTCTCCTGAGGATTCATTGAGCATATTTTTGAAAACATATCGCTTAAAAAATATGTTTGTCAGCCTTGTAGATATTATATATTTGTGTTAATCAAAATGAATAAAACCATATTTTATATATAAATCTATATAATAAATATATAAGCCTCTTAATAGCTTTTATTCTAAAAGGGGATCACACCCCTTTGGAAATATTATATGAATACATACAAATTTGTCGTTCTCCAAGTTCATTGATATCTCTCTCTCTCTCTCTCTCTCTCTCTCTCTCTCTCTCTCTCTCTCTCGTTAATACCCTTCTAGTTACTACTGATTAGTACTGCAGAACACTGAAGCATTCTTAAGTAAAGATTAACTGCTGACATAGAAATAGTCATGAACTCAAAAGGATCATTTGTAACTTTTTTTTTTAATTCACTAGTCTGTTTGCATGGAAGCTATGATATAAATTTAGATTACAATTTTTAAGTTTTAGAATTTTGAGTTGGTGTCAGAATACAGATTTATAGTAAATTTCAGCTCAACATGAGGGCATGCTTCAAGAATAAGACTTCCCTGTTTCTGGAATTATTTAAGGCAGAGACTAGGTATGAAATTAATATAGGGTATATAAGGTAATTAATAATTCAAAAAAGAATTGTTACTACCTCAAATATTTTTTTCAACTCAGACTCAGAATTTATTAGGAATAGTACTTGGAACTTTTGCATTCGGGTCTATGAATTTATGACTTTGAATAAAGAAGATTTCAAATTTTTTAGTATTAATATGGAAACATTGCCAAAAAAAACCCTTTTTTCCTACTCCTTGTTAGTGCAAAATAATAGAAGAACTTGTTTACAAATTTCCATGAAATTTACTAATTAAATTAAGTAGTTAAAAGTATCTTCATGCAATTTGCCCTGAAATTTTTTACTTTTTTTGAAGAAATTTTTCACTATTAATATTTTTTCAGAAAGGACTATGTGAAGGGGTTGGAATTATGGCTCAGTGGTAGAGCACTCGCCTAGTACATGTAAGGCCCTGAGTTCGATCCTCAGCACCACATTAAAGAAAAAGAAAGAAAAGAAAGGTATTATGTCCAACTACAACTAAAAAAATGAATATTAAAAAAGGATTATGTGAAGAAATAAATTTAGTATTTATGTTGCTATTTCAAAAGTTTCTGCATATAGGTTTGTTTAAAAAGACAGATTGGAAAATCAAATTATTGGATATTGTTAAACTTAGTTTTTTAAAACAAATTTTTAGTTGTAAACACACACAATAACTTTATTTTATTTATTTTTATGTGGTGCTGAGGATCAAATCCAGTTCTTCACACATGCCAGGCAAGTGCTCTACCACTGAGCTACAACCTCAACCCCTAAACTTAGTTTTTATTTATAAAAATCCATATTAAATTCTGTTCGAAGGTCAAAGCATCTATAATATTTAGCAAACAAGTTTCCAAGTAAATTAATTATTTTGGCAAATAATGCATGTGATGCTCTCCTTGTGAGTTCCAAGGCTTTGTAAAGGGCAAAAAGGTAACAGTAAAATCTAAATCCAGGATGTAGTCTGATCCAGTATAAAATTTAATTTTCCATGACAATGTCCACTGTGTTTCCTTGTCATTTCTTTCAACATTCATTCCTTTGTGTGATACATTTCAAGTGGGCAAATGATTAAATAAAAATTGTACTCCTCCACTCAAATATTATATACCTAATCCTTATCTGTATGATTTTTACATAAAGTATAAAGAAAGCCTTGTCCTGTCCCCACTTTCTTGCCCTGAAGAAGTAATGGCAAATTGGTTTCACCATAGTTGTTACTACGGTGAATTAGCAGTCTTAAAGTGCTGTGTAGAGAATTTAACTCTGCATCTATAGGGAGAGAGAAAACAGCATTCATGCCAGACATTTGATATTTATCATCCCTGCTTTAAAGCTCTTAAAGTTCTTGTTGTAGCTCTAAAAATTTCAAGTTTAGCCAAAGAGCTGCTATACTCAACAGCGCAAACTACCATGTGACCCACCTAGAAAAGTGTCTCTTCTAATACTTCAGAGATTGTTTTAACTTGACAGTCCCTCCTTTATACAGCACAGAATCTCTATTATGCCTCTGAAGAATCAAAGAATCATGACCATGATGATGTCATCAAGGATACCTTTAATCATTAAACTTTATATTTGCTTCTAATGAGTTCTCACCATTAAATGACATTAACTAATAAAAGGACAGCATTTTCTCGCCTTAAAATTTAGTCTAATGACACTCAGACATTACAAAATGTAGGTTCTGGTCCCTGTTACCAGAGATTCTTATTTGTTGGGTACTGACATGGGGTTCAGAAATTGGCATTTTAATTGTCTTGCTCATTTTGATATAAATGTGGAACTTTGACTTACATATCATTTTTCCAACTGAAATTGCTTAAGTTTTAATACTGTCTCCATGACACCATGGGTGGTTGTTTTTTTTTTCCCTTGGCAGGGGGAGGGGAAGAGGTTCCTGTATTAACAATGTTTATGTCTCACTTTAGAGAGGCTAAAGACATAAGTCCAAGTATTTAACCCAAGATTTTATACTATTGTATTGGCTAGCTTTCTAATGATTACTGAGAATGCCAGTTTCTCCCCAACTCAAGCTGAAATTCAAACTGTTCTTATTTGCCGTATAACCACTGGTTACATCTCCCTTTATTTCACAACACAAACTTTCTGAAATTTCTCCAGCCTGAATCAAGTGATTGTTCTTTCAGTCTTTTATGAGTTGACCCTTTAAATATTAAATAATGATTTTTCTCAATCTTTTATTATAAAATTTTTATTTCTTTAGATATAAACCTGTAATTTATTAGAAGTAAAAAAATATCCTTAATCAATTTTTGAATGCCTCACTTCTAGTGCTGTTAATTTTTTTTAATTGTGGCCAAAAATACAAAACATAATCAACCTTTTTTAAAATATGCAAAATGGTTTCTTAACCCTTATCCTCTCAATAATAGTTTTTCTGGTTATTGTCATTTCACTCTTATATAAATCTTATCTCCTGTACTGTTATAATTCTTACAGGTAAAAAATATTTTTACAATTACAAAGCAATTGTACTTATATTCAGATAAAAGATCCTTATAAACTTTGTGATTGTAAGTGAAGGATATTTTATCCTGAAAGCTTTCTGTTGACTTAAGGGGAAAATAAGCCCCTATTTTCCTGAGATCTGGAGGACTCCAAATGAACATTTATACTTTCTTGCTCATTTATTTGTTTGTTGAAGGTTTGAGATTAGAGTTACCAGAGCAAGTAAGTTTAAATGCTAGAATTTCTGTGACTTTTTCCTATGTACATTCTAGTTTTCCCATAACACATAATTTATGCTGTAGACTGGACATTTTTCTAGAATTTGACAATATTAGTGTTCACTAGATGATTTCAAAATCTTTGCTTAATTCAGAATCAAACTGTTTAGCTTTAAATAGATATATTAGATGCATAATTTGGAAGGAAATAGTTATAAAATAAAAATATTTTTCTGCACATGAACTGTTTCAAATACTATTTTCAAAATCATTGTCAGTGAGAAAAAACACCAAAAACATTTTAAACTTATTTTTCAAAAGTTTTTCTTCAAAACATTTTCTTCTTATTATTAAAATTTTTCAAAGAAATCAATAAATTTTAAAATTCTGCAAGCAATATACATCTAAATACCCAAAAATGCTATCATTATGAGTATACTGCATACCATCTTGCCACAGGAAAAAAAATCTACCTTTTCTTGACCTTAATTACTTTGGAACTACTGCAAAAACTCGTTGATCATGACCCTTTAATAATAATAACTGATTCTTCATTTTATGAATTTAATAACTTATAATATCAATGTTATCTTATGAGTTTTCAGGCAAAGGGAACCATAGTAGAATTATTTTGAATATTTCCATGATTTTTGTAATACTCAAATTTTTCTTTTAACACTGCTGGTTACTTTAAAGAGAATTCTGTATTATTCCTTTGATTTTCATTTAAAAATTAGAAATGTTTTCTTAGTAAGGAAGAGGGTGGAAATCCCATAAGTTGAAGAGATTTAGTGTAGAAGTTGTGGGTGCAGTGACATACTAGTCAATTACTCTTCTTCTTTTCAGTGCTCCCCTCACTATCTTTCTTCATTGTCTCCACATCACCCTTAAATCACAGAAATTCATTTAGTGTCCTTCACTCATTAGAGCACATGATGCCAGGACCCAGAACTTAAATCTTCCCTCTATTTCTAGTCTCTAACAAAAGGTAGGCACTAATATTTTACCAATAGGAAACTTTATAAAATATTGTGCATTCCAGCCTGAAAAGTTTCCCCAAATTCTGAGCCTTTGTTTCATAAATTTTTACCTACTTTGTCACTTATAAAAAAATATTTGATTACTTAGAATGAGGAATGCCTGCACAGTTTATAATAATTAAAGTTAGTTTGAATTATTGTTCTTAAAGGATTATTAAACAGTACTAGTATTTAATAGAGTCTTTGGGTCATTCAGTATCTGTGTGATTTGGTTTTTTTAATCACCATTGATTGTTTGACTTTTTTTTTTTTTTTTTTTGGTACTAAGGATTAAATTCAGAAGCAATTAACCACTGAGCCACATCTCCAACCTATTTTATTTTTTATTTATTTTGGGGTGGTGGATACCAGGGAATAAACTCAGAGGCATTTGACCACTGAGCCACATCCTCAGCCCTATTTTGTATTTTATTTAGAGACAGGATTTCACTGAGTTGCTTAGTGCCTCACTTTTGCTGAGGGTGGCTTTGAACTCGTGATCCTCCTGTCTCAGCCTCCCAAGCCACTGGGATTATAGGCATGCGCCACTGCACCCCACTTATTTTTGAGACAGGGTTTCAATAAGTTTCTTAGAGCCTCGATAAATTGCTGAGACTGGCTTTGAACTTGCAATCCTCCTGCCTCAGCCTCCCAATCCACTGGGATTACAGCTGTGCACCATCACATCTGGCTTGACTCCTTTAAAGATCCAAATACTACATTTAAAGACAGGCCAAGCTGTTATTTAGCCAGGTTTTGTGGTGGTGGTAGCAGGGGAGGTATCTGTTGTCCCAGACACTTGGAAGGCCATGGCAAGAGGATAGCTTGAGCCCCAAGTTTGAGACCCACATGAGCAACATAGCAACACACCTCCCTCACTAGTTAAAAAAGAATAAAAAGAAGGAGGAGGAAGGAAGAAGACATACCAAGCTAGCTATAATTCATGCAGTACCTTCCATTAAGGTAATTTGAATCTGATTTGAGATATATTACATAAAATCTACCTATTATTTGATAGAAATGTTTTACATGGAAAAATATCAGTCTTAGGTAACCCAGAACTTGATTTTTAAACTGGTTTTTAATAACTCTAAATGACAAATTAGTAAATTTGTTAAAGGTAACTACAAATTGAGTGTGAATCCTGAAGTACCAGGTTTATACTACAATTAATAAAGCCAAAAGTTTAGTTGTTTATTATTTGGGTTATGATTTCAAGCATTCATGGAATTTTAGAAAACCCTTTTCATCTTGCCTTTGACCTCATAGTGTGCAGCAGTGTAGTTTGGAGGTCTGTAGGACCCTATGTTACCCTTGTGAAGCCCCAGATCTGTGCTTGGGACTGATCCTGGGACAAGTCATTGAACTTCTGTGGATCCTGACTAGCTTATCTGTCAGTTGAGGAGATTAGCCCAGAATAGTTGATTTCTCAGAAACCTGTCAATTTCTGTTATCCCTAGAGGCAGCAAAACTTCCCCTAAGATATCTTCAATTTCTTTATGTGGCTTTTTCTCATTTTTCTCCAAATTTTTGTTTCACCTGACAGTTATTAACCATCCTATCCTTCTTGGCACCCTTCATATTTAGTTATATCCATTTTACAGAGTTTCAGTGTACTGTTTCTATAATTTATCCAGCTCCTTGTTACACTCCATTTGTGTGTGTATGTGTGTGTGTGTGTGTGTGTACACCAATCTCTTGGAACTAACATAAAGACTAGTTGAGCATGATATACATACAGTCAGTAAGACTTATCCTTTGACTTTGTATACAAGAGCTTTAAATTGGCTGTTCTATCAGTTCCAAAAGATTTATTTAGATATGCAACCTAAATCTTGTTAAATATATTTTTAAATTTAGTTTCCCATATGAAAACCCTATCTTCTTAACTTGAATTTAAATTTAAAACCAGAGACTGTTTTTTTCTCCTTTTCATACCCCTCTATACCTAACACTGGACTAATTCCTTAAATCATCCCTGTTAATTTAATCCCCATGGTTCCTTTTCCTCTTCCTATTCTGCCTTTGAAATCACAGTATTCAACAGACAAATCTAAGTGGGAACAAATAGAAATAAAAGTGACCATTTAAAAACCCGATAAGAAGTACTAGTCATTTTTGTTTTGAAGTTAATATAAACTAAGGTACAGTTTAATATGGAGTCTTTTGTTTCCGCACATCCTGAAATTTACTTCAGAAATGTGTTTGTTTCATTTACTTAATAAGTGATGCTGTTCTTCTATTCATTCAGTGAACATTAGGACTAGGCATACAATTATTTGCAAAAGATAGATATTTCACTGCTATTAAGTTTAAGTATGGCATGTCCAAAGTTATTTGATTAAAAGCAGCCTTTGGAACCTAATAAAACTGATATATTTTTCATTCAACAGATATTCCACTTTTCCTCCATGCCAGGCAGTGTGTTTGTATATATGAGAATGTTTGAAGCTATCTATTATAAAAAGCTGCATTTTATTTTCCTTTTAACAATTTATCCTTTGAATATTATTAATTATCTGTATATTGTCATAATGCTCAAAGTATAATAGTGCAGATTTAGAAAAATACAATGATAACTATTTCAAAAAATAATTTTGTCTTTCCCATTCCAAATCTCTCTTTATGTCCTCAGATGAAAATAACACTTCTGTTTCATCTCATGTTCTCATGTGCCTTCTGTGTTCAAGTGGTAATGAGCGCCTAATTTGGAAATGATTTTATAATCATCACTTTTATAGCCCCATTCAGGCTCATCATGAAGGACTTTTTTGGGAGTGGGGGTATAGGGGATTGAACCTAAGAGTGCTTTACCACTGACCCACATCCCCAGCCTTTTTTTTTTAAAAACAGGTTCTCAATCATCCTGCCTCAGCCTACCAAATCACTGGGATTGCAGGATTGTGCCCCCATGCATGGCTTCAGATTCCTTTTTTCTTCACAGCTGAATTTACAAAACTCCATCAGTGTTGTTCTCAACTATGGTGACTATCTCACCAATGTCTTAGCCAAATATTATAAGCCCCATTCTACATTGGCTATGTTAGTAAATCAGCGGTTGTAATAATTTTCACTATAGAGCTGAAGACCATTAGTAGAGACCTGAATTATAGGTACAAAAGATTGATTTGTCGTAAAAGTTTTCTCATAATTAGTCATTAACTATGAAATAGTTTCTTTCTTTCTTTTTATTGTACCAGGGATTGAACCCAGGGGCCCTTAACCACTGGGCCACATCCCTACCTCTTTGTATTGTTTATTTCGAGACAAGGTCTCACTGAGTTGCTCAGGGTCTCACTAAGTTCCTGAGAATGGCTTTGAACTTGTGATCCTCCTGCCTCAGGCTCCCAAAACACTGGGATTACAGGAATGTGCTCCCATGCCTGGCCTGAAATATTTTGTAATTAAATTAAAGGTAAAAATAATATTAAACTTTAAATTATAATAATTTACATCTAATTTAAAATTATTTTCATATTTCACATATTCTATCTCATTTTATCTCAATGAAAATACTAATTTAAATTATTTTAGTCCCATATCACTATCCCCACATCATAGATGAAGAAACTGAGGCTCTGGCAGGTGAAATTATTTGTTGTAATCACCTGACTACCTAATAAAATTTCAGGGTTTGGTAAAAATTATGCATGTTGTTATAGCTAATTTAAAATGTTCTTTTAAATGTATTCTAGGCATTTTCTTATTTTTATCTCATCTTTAGGCTCACTTCTGCCCAGAATTCACACTGCTCATTCCCTAATAGAAGGCACAGTATTTGTTACATTGGTGCACATGTCTGTACATAAATCATTTGCTGGATTTTAACTATATACATATCAGCCTCTGCCTTAAATTCTTGAGTCTTTGACCCTACGTGCTTTAATCTCCCTGCCTGAGCTTTCCTCCTTAGCTAGTGTTTCAGAACCTGATCTCTTCCTGTCTTAGTATCTAGTCTCTGCATTGCAGAGTAGCCCAGAAAAAATTTTACTACTCAGAGAATTTACTTCATTTGTGAAGTTTATCAATTAAAAATAATCTAGTGAGGCTGTGGATGTAGCTCAGTGGTAGAGCACTTGCCTACCATATTTAAGGTTCTGGATTCAACTCGTGAATCTTTTTCCTATACTCCTATAAGCAAGAGATAAATGACCACATAATAAGTAGGAAGCAGGCTTTTTCAAAAAACTATTTGGAAGGAATATTCCAGGTTTTTATCAAATTAACTCAAGAACCCACATTAACTTCCTTTCCATCATTATATGGCAATTAAAGTTGTTGATGAAGACTAGAGCACTACAATATTCCCATTCATGCACACAAATTCAATCATGTTCATTATGTTGTATTTATTAGAGCAGAAAATCAAAATAGCACATATTAGAAATGTTTCCATTTCAACAGGGTTAACAGCATTGCGATTAAAACTCTTAAATAGGAAATTTCATTAAATAAATGACCTTGCTCACTGGCTTTTCCAGTTAGCCATGTTTTTGTAGTATCACTGGGGAATCAGCAGGCTGAATTCTCAATTCTGGCATGCAGATTGAATTATTCTGATTCAATATTTTAAGCCCTAAAAGTTGTACTCACAGATTAGCCTAATCTGTTATGATTTATCATGTGTTTATAAATTATATATTTGTAAATATAAAAAGATCAATATGCTGAGATTATCAAGGAGAAGCTTCATAAAAGTTCTACATTTGCCTTTGCTATGGCAGATATAAAACAATAATTATTATAACCTACTTCCTCCATCCACCCCCTTAATCAATAGCAATAGCAATAATTTCAACTGTATTTTCAGTTACTATCTCCCTACAGAATTATCTGGCCCTCTGTGGCGTACTATAAACTAGTAAATAGCACAGATTTTGGGGTCCGCCGGTTCTAAGTTCAAGCCCAAACTCTCTCATTTGTGTAATTTAGGTCAATTTGCTTAATTCTACATTTTACTTAATTTTGCACTTACAATTAACTTAATTTTACATTTTTGTTCCAAAATTGTACTCATACAGCACTCAATTTATACTTATTGATCACCTGCTATATGCTGGACAATATTCTAGATCCTGTGGAATTGTATCAATAACAAAACAAAACAGGCTTCTTGACCTTATAGGACCTGTGGTCAACCAAATTCTTTTGAAGAAGAAAAGCTTTTTTTTTCCTTTTTTCTTTTTGTGGTTTTGGGGATCAAACCCAGGGCCTAGCTACAGACTAGGGAATATCAAACCATCATTTATTCCTGGAGGAAATCATAACTGCTTTGTTTCTATTTTTAAATAGATGATCATTATTAGGCAGTTTGCAGGATTTAGGAGTCATTTTCCCCAGTGCCAAAAGAATTCCATTCACCTATTTTCTAGTATTGGTGTGGGTATCCATAGTGACTTGACAACCTGATATTTTCTTGTCTAAATCTGTCATCAACTTTTTTTCCTGAAGGAGTCTTCTTCATCCTCATTCATAACAGATGGGGAAAATCCTAAAAATGTTGTGTTCAAAAATCATTTAAGTGTTCACTATAGAATATGAACTAGATATTATTAAATGGTTCTTCCATTACCCACTGTCTGCTTCTTCACTACTTAGCTTCAAAATCAGTGGACATATGTGGGCTTCATCAGAATATTTTTGTTTTCATCTCTCAACTGAAAGTTTTCTCACCTGTTTTTTTTCTTAAATTGAAAACATTGTTATAAGATGATGTTTTAACCCATTTGACTCTTAAAAAAATAGGTTTTGAAAGTGAATGCATACTTTAACCCTTGGTTTCAGGATAGTAAGAAACTATTATAATTTAGGCCCTGTCATAAAGAGGATCATACAGACCATAGTCTTTTTTTTAAATATTTTTTTAGTTGTTGATAGACCTTTATTTTATTTATTTATATTCGGTGCTGAGAATTGAACCCAGTGCCTCACACATGCAGGCAAGTGCGCTACCACTGAGCCACAACCCCAACCCCCAGACCACAATCTTTTTATTTATTTATCTATCTATCTATTTATTTATTTATTTTAGTTGTGGATGAACACAATACCTTTATTTTGTTTATTTATTTTTTTTATGTGGTGCTGAGGTCAAACCCAGTGCCTCACACGTTAGGCAAGTGCTCTACCACTGAGCCACAACCCCAACCCCCCAGACCATAGTCTTGACACTTAGCTTTTCCGCTTTCATATTTGAACAGTATTTTTTCTATCTTCTTGCACTGAAACTCTGTTTTCTTTTGGTACTTTTGGACCTTTAAACCTCTCAACTCTCAGAAATGTTAACTGAAACATCTCATCATTATCCATTCTATTGATTGCATAAGTTTTTATTGTTCACCCTAGAGAGGCAAACAATGTCCTTAGTGTCATTGAGTTTTTAAAGGGAAAATTTTATAGTGAGGATCCATGTTACCCTGTATCAATTTGTTTTTTAAATTGCCCCAATTTAAATTTATGCAGTTTTTATGTTAACAAAGCAATAAAAATAATAATGTCTGGCTTAGGGATTTTAAAACTTATTTGTTTTTGTTTTCTAAATAAGCATATACCTAAACTTTCACTTTTTAATAAATCTGATTTTTTTAGGGTAAGAAGCCACTATGTGAGGTAAGAAATGGCAATTACAGGTAAATAAGACTCTTCATTTATTTATTCAACAAGTACTTATTGTTTTTGTCCCATAGTCAGGTATTATTCAAGGAAATTGTTTACTTTTTCATCTAGTATCACGTGAAAATGATAATGAATAGTAAAATTACATATTCTAATGTCTTTGTATAACATGGACTTGGAACAGCTTAAATCTTTGGTATATTTGGAAAAATTACAAAAAAATATATTGGAGAATAATTATCTGACTTTTGATTACAATTTTAATTTTGCAAACGCATATTTGGCATCACTTGTGGATAAATTCTGTTCAGGATATTCCTATTCTTCTCAAAACTAACACAATTTCTCACTTACTTAGGATTATCAAGTATTATAATAAGATTACACTAATTCATTGGATATTTGCCTTTCAAGGTAACCTCTTTAAAACTGATAAACACATGTCCCCTCACATTTGAACTGATAAGGTAATCATTATAAATTAGGTCCCAATCACTGAAATTCAAAATGGTTTTGAAATGTGAAATCCCATGTACACATGATTATGTACCAAGAAGTATAAGTTAACATTTTCTTTTATTCCCACCTAGAAGTTTTAGACAAATTAGTTTCCTTTCTACACTAGTAGTGTCCTACTGCTCCACAAGTAATCCTTGATATAAATGCCTGTAGAGTATAGGTCCTGGATTTCACTCCAGGGTATGCTTCTGTCTATGAGATACTTTGAAGGGAGAAGTTTGAAATGAAAAAACAAAACGCCAACCATCCTCTGGCGCTTCTGCAAAAATATTGTGTTTAGTTGTAATATTTTATAACATTTTTATTAAGATATAATTTACATAGAGTGAAATGCTCCAATGTTAATATACCATTCAATCAGTTTTGACAAACATGGAGACACAGAATACCTCTCTCATCCCAGAAAGTTCCCAAGTAACACCTAACTTCCCAGTCAACATCAACAGACCCCAAACCATCCCAGCTTCCAAAAGCAACCACGAATCTGATTTTTATCACCACAGCTTATACCTGCCTATTCTAGAATTTCACATAAATTAACATGTATTTTTTTCGTATTTTGTCTGTTTCATTATGCCTAGTAGGTTTGAGACCATCCATATTGTTGAGTTCATCAGTCAACAGTTTCTTTTTTTTGCTGATGAAACTTGCTTAAAACAGGCAAGAAACAAGCAGATCTTCATGAAGTGTCTGAAGTGACACATAACTACTGCTAAAATCATGGCAGCAAATTAATAATAACCATTCAGGGGGTAGAAATGCACTCTAATATTAAGTGATAATACACCTACATTCAAACAACTCTCCCACCTTAGTGTTATATGAATAAGATACACTCTTTTGGGAGATTCTAAATTATGCTACTAAAAATAGAAACATGGGTGGGTACACTTTAGCAATAGAGATGGCTATAGAATTCTTATGTCCTCCTATTTTGACTTCAGAAAGTAAATGTGAAAAATAATCCCAGGTAAGGAGCTAATTCTTTTAGTATCTCTATTATTAAAACATGCTGGAAAGAATGCTTTCAATGTTTATCAATATGGTGATACCTTAATACCAGTTTCAAAATGACATAATGTGGACCTGATAAGTTCAGTTTTATTGTTAGAAACTCACTTTAATCTAAAGTTCCTGGTAAAGCTTATATAAATGGAAGAAGAGTAGATAACAAAAAGAGCAACATCCAGGTTACATTTTTGTTTTGCTGAAAGTCCTAATTATACATAGCTAAGTTTTGCTATTTTATGCAAAGATTCATTGAGGTCCAGGGGAGCAGGAATACATTTAAGCAAAGAGTATACTGTGATTCTTGGGAGCCATAATACTATAAAATGAGTTCTAATAGAGGTAAAGGGTGAATTTTTGCCCTCTATTGTCATTTTCAAGAGAATTCTGTTCTTAACAAGGAGATGGCTGAATTTGACATAACTAAATAAAGGAGAGGATTGAACTATCTTTGGCTAGTCCACCCACATCCTTAACCATCTCCACTTTCAAGATTCTACAGGAACACAAAAGCATCTCAGAACACTGTCACAGACTGATAGCATACACACAGCCATTTTCTTGCTTTTATGGGTATTGGTTTCAATAGCATGTAATCCATGAGTAAGAAAAAGGACAGCCATATAGTGCTTGAGTGCTTACATTAGTTTTATGGGAAAAGTACCCAAATGAAATAAGAAATGCAGCCAGAGTATTAAGTGGATATTAATAAAGTTTCTAATTATTTTAATTCTCTGAAACTCTTATTCATTGTTTTCCCATTTCTTTCACTTCCTGCCTATCTCTATGCATCTACTTTCCTTCTGCCCTCTCATACTATTTTTTCCTCCTTCTGGTTTCTAAATTGTTTTACTATGCTTGTATTTAATTCTGATATCATTCAAAAAAAAACTAACATGAAGCACTTCTCTTTAATATGACCTACTTTAATGTAGAATTTGCCCTATCTTTTTTTAATATCCATGACAGTAGGGTGTATATTGACTTATTATACATACATGGAGTTAACCCATTACAATTCTTATGGTTGAACATGATGTGGAATTACACTGTTTGTGTATTCATATATGAACATAGGAAAGTTATGTCCGATTCATTCTACTCTTTCCTATTCCCATCCCCTCTCCTTTCCCTTCATTTCCCTTTGTCTAATCCAATGAACTTCTATAAACTTCTGTACTTCTCCCTACCTTTGTTATGGGTTAGCAACCACATATCAGAACATTTGGGCTTTGATTTTTTGGGACTGGCTTATTTCACTTAGCATGATCATCTCCAGTTCCATCCATTTCCTGACAAATGCCATAGTTTTATTCTTCTTTATGGCTGAGTAATACCCCATTGTGTATACATGCCACAGTTTATTTATCCATTCATTTGTTGAAGGGCACCTCAGTTGGTTCCATAGCTTGGCTAGTGTGAATTGAGCTGCTATAAACATTGATGTGGCTGCGTCACTGTAGTATGCTAATTTTAAGTCCTTTGGGTATAAACTGAGGAGTGAGATAACTAGATCAAATGGTGGTTCCATTCCAAGTTTTCTGAGGAATCTGGATGCTGATTTCCAGAGTGGGTGCACCAATTTGCAGTCCTACCAGCAATGTATGACTGAATCTTTTCCCCCACATCCTTGCCAACATTTATTGTGACTTGGTATTCTTGATAATTGCCATTCTGACTGGAGCGAAAAGGAATCTCAGTGTAATTTTAATATGCATTTCTCTAACCACCAGAGATGTTGAACATTTTTTCATATATTTTTGACTATTCATATTTCTTCTGTGAAGTGTCTGTTAATTTCCTTTTCCCATTTTTGACTGGGTTATTTGGGGGGTTTTGGTATTAAGTTTTTTGAGTCTTTGTATATCCTAGAGACTAATGCTGTATCTGAGGTGCAGGTGGTAAAGATTGTCTCCCATTCTGTAATCTCACTGTTCATGTTCTTCGTTGTTTATTTTGCTGTGAATAAGCTTTTTAGATTTATGTGGAATTACACTGGTTGTGTATTCATATTCATACCATCCCACTTATTGATTCTTGATTTTATTTCTTGCTCTTGAGGAAGTCAGTTCCTAAGCCGACATGGTGGAGAGTTGGGTCTACTTTTTCTTCTTATAGGTGCAGCAGTGTCTGTGATCTAATGCCAAGATCCTTTATCCACATTGAGTTAAGTTTTGTGTGGGATGAGATATAGGGATTCAATTTCAATCTACTACATATGGATTTCCAGCACCACTTGTTAAAGAGGCTATCTTTTCTCCAATGTATGTTTATGGCACCTTTGTCTAGTAGGAGATAACTATACTTATATGGTTATGTCTCTATCTTCTATTCAGTTCCATTGGTCTTCAATTCTATTTTTGACAATACCATGCCATTTTTGTTACTATAGTTCTGTAGTATAATTTAAAGTCTGGTATTGTGATGCCTCCTGCATTACTTTTCTCACTTATTGTTTTGGCTATTCTGGGCCTCTTATTTTTTCAAATGAATTTTGTGACTGTTATTTCTATTTCTATGAAGAACATCATTGGGATTTTAATGGGAATTGCATTGGATCTGTATAGTGCTTTTGGTAGTATTACCATTTGGACAACTTTAATTCTGCCTATCAAGAACATGAGACATCTTTCCATTTTCTTAGGTCTTCTTCAATTTCTTTCTTTAGTGTTCTGTAGTTTTTATTGTTGAGGTCTTTTTATTACTTTGTTAGATTGATTCCCAAGTTTTTTTACTTTGTTTTTGTTTTTGAGGTATTGTGAATGGGATAGTTTTCCTGATTTCTCTTTCAGCTGATTTGTCATTGATTGCTGTATGAGTGTTAATTTTATATCCTGCTACTTTGCTGAATTCATTTATGAGTTCAAGAAGCTTTTGGTGGAGTTTTGGGGGTTGCTAAATATAGAATCGTGTCATAGGCAAATAGGGATAGTTTGAGCTCTTCTTTTCCTAATCATATCCCTTTAATTTCTTTCTTTTGTTTAATTGCTCTGGCTAGGGTTTCAAGAACGATATTGAATAGGATTGGTGAAAGAGGGCATCCTGTCTTTTTCCGGTTTTCAGAGGGAATGCTTTCACTTTTTTTCTATTTAGAATGGACTTAGCATATATAGCTTTTACAATGTTGAGGTATGTTCCTATTACCCTAGTTTTTCTAGTGTTTTGAACATGAATGAATGCAATATTTTGTCAAATTATTTTTCTATTGAGATACTTATGTTTTACTTCTTATAAAAGGCAGTTACATTTGAATTACCATGAAAACCTCATTAGGACAATTTAACTCATGAGGAGAACCAATAGTGCTGACACACTAAGCTTCAAGGATATATGTTCCCAACTCTAAAGACTGATACCTTATTTTCAGTAGTATATGTAAGTTGAACTCTCTAAACAGTCCATCATCTTAATTGTAGTAATTAATTTTAAGTAAGTGCCAATAATGTTTCTTACCAGATGAAAAAATGAGGATATGGCTCTTGTTCCCATTTGAATATGAGAAATGATATCAGCTTAATGTAAGAAAGGCAAAGAGATCTTAGAGTTAAAGAATTATAAACCTCATTTCTCAGTGAGGGCACTCTGCTTGAAAGGAAGTCCTAGCCGATCAGAAGTTAAAGTTTATTGTAAATCACCTGTCTTCCTCCCATCTACTTATTGTTCTAGCTAATAAAAAATAGGTTTTTAGGAGGTAAGAGAAGTAGCTCAGTGGTAGAGTATGTGCTTAGCATGTTTAAGGTCCCTGGTTCAATCCCCAACACCAAAAAAAAAAAATTGGTTTTTACTTTCTAGTTTCTGACTTACATTTTCATTGCTTCTCAATCAAAATGTTGTAATTAGAAGTGTTTTTATTTACATATATAGATCCACATTTAATATCAAATCTATATATTTTTTCACTGATAATTTAAAACCATAACCAATCTTTACAAGAAATAATTTCACATTTCACTCACTGAAATGGGAATTGAGACTATGAATTGTACATCATTAGTGAAACCAACCTATTCTCAAGGCAACAAGTTTATATAAAGTAGTGGGAGTAGGAACAAACTCCCAGATACTAATTTTGCAGACATATAAAGTATTATAAATGTCCACACTGTATCAATGCAATTTTAATACATTTATTCAATATTTTATAAACTATTCACCAAAAAAGGAATTAAAAAAGGAAACATTTGATACTTAGCAGTTGCTCTAGAGTTTCAAAACATAAAACTTTGGGGTTTTAACTATTATGTTTTCTTAAGAAAGACTTTTGAGCACTGAACAACAAAATAAAGAATTTTAAAACTAGAAAAGTCTTGTCATCATCCAACCTTTTCAGCATTCACCCAGTTCAATAAAATCACTATCTCCTCAAGGGTCTTGGCTTTCCTATTCTGATTGCCAAAAAATTGAAGAACCACTAGTCCTCCGATCCCCATTGCTGTACATGTGTAACCATCCTTTCATCTCTTTCTGGTATGCTCCATACTCATGCTGATGATTGTAGCTGTGAAGATTATTTCCTTGATTTATTATGTTTGGATTAGCTTACAAAAGAACCATCTACCATACACACAGCACAACTTTTAACTCAAATGCCTGGCAAAAGTACAGATGAATAATTCAAAGTTTTAGGAGTAATTGTGTCATTGGTAGGCTGTGTCATAAAGACTCAAGAATGAGTAATACTACCCCTATTATTTAAGACCATAATGCTACCTACCCTACTGTAGTGGAGAAGCAAAAGGAGGCCTGCACAGCTTTTCTCAAGGAGTCAGAGATGGGCAATATTTATTGTGCATACCACGTGAGCTAAGCAGTAGATCAAGATATTACAGCAGAAGATGAGATCCAGTATTTGGCCTCAAAGAGCATATATTGTGCTCAGCATTGAGCAATGCCAGGTTATTGCCTACAGAAGAGAAACTACATGAGACTTCTACAAGTTTCCTGCAGCTTCATCACTGCACAGGCAAGTTATTAACTTTGCCTTCCTCATCAGTATACTGTGAGAAATAACTACTGTAGTATTGTGAGGCATTTTGTAAATGAGAGTGCTATAAAAAGAGATGAATATTAGAAAAAAAAACCAGATTAAATAATATAGTAGGAACGGTTCTCATATATATGTCCAATCTTTCATGTCACCACTACAGGACTGCTACCAGGGAGAACTTATTTTAAGTAAACACAATGGCCTACCCAGCTTTTGCAAAGTCAAGAAAATATCTGGGTATATTAGCAAGAAAGATTGTAGAGTCTTACATTATTTGGGTGTTATATGTGCTAAATACAGTTGGAATATTTCATATACTGTGAAGTTCCCACATGTCAGCAACTTCTTTTGCAAATCTGGGGCTAAGGATGTGGCTCAGTGGTACAGCACTTGTGTAGAAAGGGTGAGGCCCTGGGTTCAATCCCTAGCACCACATATATACACGCTCTAGAATCTTCTGCATTTCAATGTTTATTTGCAGTATTTATGTAACAAATTTTAATTACTAAAACTATCAAAGCCTATTATTTACCAACAAGGTATTATGTTTTTATAACTCAGAAACTGAGAAGATTCTATAGGTGAATATTCATTCTGTGATTAAATCTGTCATTATATTGGGTTTGTGGAAATTGTTATCAGTGATTTATCATGGTTACTGATTTTAATTACATTTTTTTTATTTTTTAGTTGTAGTTGAACATAATACCTTTATTTATTTATTTGTATGTGGTGCTGAGGATCGAACCCAGAGCCTCACACTTGCTAGGTGAGTGCTCTACTACTGAGCCACAACCCCAGCCCTGATTTTACTTACATTTTTAAAGTTTGTTAATTTTCTCAGAAGACTGGGACATTTTTATCCCATCCTACATCTTAGACAAAAGACAAGTTTATATAATTCGTTTTTGTTTTTCAGATGCTTTCCATCACCACCACCACTGGGGATTAAACCCAGGGACACTATACTACTGATAGTATACCCCCAGCCCTTTTTATTTCTTATTTTGAGACATGATATCTCTAAATTGTCCAGGGTGGCCTCAAACTTGCAATCTTCCTGCCTCAGGCTCCCAAGCAGCTGGATTACAGGTGTGGCCCATGCAAACTGGCTCAAATTCTTCTTTTGAAAAAAAAAAATTTTTTTTTTAAATTGTAGTGCTGGAGATCCAACTCAGGGCCTTGCAAATGTCAGGCCAGCACTCTACCACTGAGCTATATCCCCAGGCCAGGGATGTAGCTTTTATACAGTCATTCTTATACATTCTTATACATTCTCAAAATGGAGGAAAAGGACAGGAATCTTTTTTGGTAGACATTAATGTTCTGTGACTATGATTTACTCCCAATTTTAAAAAATTAGTATTTTTATATTTTTACTAGCCTTTTCTTTCTTTTTTTTTAGGGGGGAGGGGATGGGATGGGGAGGGAGGGTTGTTCTGAGGATTGAGACCAGGAGCCTTGTTCCTCTAAGCTAGATCTCCAGACCTTTTTATTTTTATTTATCTTGAGATAGGGTCCCACTAAATTGCCCATGGTGGTTTTCAAGTATGTTATCCTCTTGACCAGATCTTCCTGTCTCAGTCTCCCCAGTAGCTAGAAATTGACAGGCATGCACCACCATATCCAACACCAGCATTTTCACTCTAATTGAAAGGAGCAATATACCACAGTGTTTAGTTTGTATTATAACAGAATCCAAATAACCTGCCATTGAGAATCATGACCCTACATTCTCTCTTTCTCCTGAACAATATAAAATTTTGACCTTGGTTTATAATGAGACAACACCCTGGTTTAATTTAATTACATTCAGAAATAACAAAAACATTCAAAATTTAAATTTATGTGCATGCCATTTATTTATAAAAATATATATTCATACAATTATTACATGATAAGGAAATCTCCATTTTTAATTCTCTTTTCCTGATTGACCAAATTCAGTCATACACAGAACTTTCATACAGTGACTTACTATTTTATTCGTTCTGTATATTTGTGCTTTGGTCTCTTTATATTTATATATTTGTGCTTTTGTCCTCGTTATTTTATCTCTGTATACTTCTACTTAGTGCTTCTATTTAGAATAAAGAGACAGAAGCATGAAAATCAATAACCCACTCATCAGACATTTTTGCTGTACTACAGAGGAATGACCAGTTAAGGCTAGAAACCTCAGTATTTACTACTGTTTTCAAAACTTGGGTTTCTAGATAATATTATTGCTTCAGTGATTGAAGAGAGTAAGTATAATATGTAGTCAAATAGATAAAAAACAGGATAACTAAACCAATTTGTTTTCTGTTAAACATATGACATCTGTGTGTTGCCTGGCACAGTATTATTAAAATTTGCCTAAACAAGCTCTCATGATGTTTTCAAGTTTCATGGAATGCTTTGTCTATACTTGGACTTGAGTCTTCATAATGACAAAGGCTCTTAACAGTTATTTTTCTTTAACACACAAACTATATCGTTTTTAGAAACTTATAATTCATCTTCCTAGTTATATTTCTGCTAAGTTTGTGAAATTGTACTATACTAGTATGGGAAGGGTAAAACTGTTTATGTATTTAGATTTTGAAAAATAGAATCGTGCATTTTAGATAAATATATGGTAACGTGGCACTTTGGTAAAAGAATGTGCAATTATAAAGGTTTATGCCACTTTAATTTTTTAAACCCTGGAATTACTCTCACTAGGCTTTAGATTCAAAGCCAAACCCAATTCTAAGACTAGCATTTCCCCTACTGGTAATTCCTGTTTTTCTAATAATATGGAACATTAACTTAAACCATTCTTTTCAATGAGTATTCACTTACCTTCTCTATCCTGACTGCAAAACCTTTAACTTAAGGAACATTTTTAATTAACCCAGTGGCAATCAGAAAAGCATTTTAGGTATCCTGGCCATTTAATCTTGTACCTCATTTCAGTAATCTTTTCAAAATAGCTAAATTCCCGAAAATGAATATTCAAATATTTTAATTGAGTTTTAATGGTTAAGAGCTACTGAGCAGTTGATATGTATGTTGTCATATTTTTTCCTAAAATCTGGACCTGTCTAAATAACTGAGTATACAGATGTACTTAAAACATATATATCCCCAAAGAGAAATAATTAAATATATAATAAATAGAATTCCGTATGCTTATTGATATCATATAGATACACTCTTATTAGGATACCAGTATTTTACTATGATATACCCATGGATAGTAGAAGCAAAAAGAATATAAATGCTCGATATTAACTGTTGGCATCAATACAGGTTATGCACAGTCTGTTGCAATAAAAGGTATTCATTATGCCTGTATCTGAAGAATTCCCTGTTAGTTTTTTCTGGCCTTTTTCATTTTAGGTTGCACAATCATTTTAAATGTAAATAAAACAGAATATATGAATAAATGAACAAAATAATGGCCCCATTTGCCATATGATTAAATATTCTGTTGAATTTTTTGAGGGACATTGGCTGCTGTAGATTATGACGTAAACCTGATTGTTCACAAGCAACATGAGAGTCTTATGTAAAAGTCCCAGCATTTAGAAATTATACATATTTTCCTTTCCCCACAAGATGGATTCAGAATTGATAATTTAAATTTATAATTTTAAGCTGCTAGTTATTAAAGATTACTATATGGATTTAAAGATTAAATAATATAAGAGCTATAAGCCTTAAAATATTTTAGTGAAAAATTAATTACCTGGAAAAGAAGGCACTTTATTACCTTGAACTAGCTATTTGTCTGTATAGAATATGTCTAAAATCTCTTAAAATATTCTTTATCCTTTTATAAATTTATCCTATTTATATGTTTTTCTAAAGCCACTTAGAGTATAATGTAATAAATCAAACTATTTTAATTTAACAGAACAGTATGTTACATAATATAGCCAATGAGCAATACAGAAATAAAACTTAAGAGTAACAAAAGTATATGTGATAATGGCAAAACTGTCTAAGTTAGTCTACAATCATTTGCAGTTAAAATATTGTAAAATTTGAAGACTTTATCATTGAACAATTTTTGGACAGTTTTTATTTTTAAATTTCTTTTTTAAATTTTTACTACCTTAATTGAAATGTTGATCAAATATAAGGGCAATCAAAATTATTCAGCTAGCCTATCACAGCTCAGTTTTATTTTAGCTGAATTTTTTAATGTAAATCAGTTTCGTTTCTTCTTTGCTCAAGTCAGTCATACCTGGTAAATTATCAAATTTAAATCAGTCACATAAATATACTGCTATGTGCGGTGTTTCTTCTTCAGGAAATGGGTAGATTTATAGAATGGATGTAGTTCAGCAAGAAAAGCAAGATATTTTTTCAAAAGGGTTCTACCCTCTCAAGTTAAACTTAACATCTTCCTGACATTTATTAAGATAGGCTAACTTTTCATTCAGAATGTTTTTCAACAGAATATTTCAAAGTGAACAAACTTTGCTTTCTTTTTTGTTTGAGAACAAAATATTTTAAAAAATCAAAACATTTTTCTATAAGGTTACTTATCTTTAATTCTTTCTTTGTGTAGCCATTTTTCTATCTCTAGTTTGAAATGTTTTTTACTAAATGTAAATGCAGTTCCTTAGATGAAGTCATCATTACATGGTATAGAAAGAAGTCAAGTTTATCAGGTCTGTCCTTATCAAAGAAAGACTAAAGACAAATTCCATGTCAGTTGTTTGGTTTGTTTGTTTTCATTTTAAAATAAGATATATTAACCCAAAGGTGTGTTAATGTCAAGGCATGAACAATCTTAAATGTAGATCGATTGAGTATTTTGTGATGCTGAATAACAGACTTTTCTCAAATATCTGTGATGCTAAATATTTTCCTTAGAAAGTTTTGTTTAATGTTAGATTGTTGTTCTGAAAGATGTTGGTCCTAGTGGGATTTTTAAAAATTTGGAAAACAAATAACCGCATGTATTACAAGTATAGATATGGTGAATTGTAAACTTACCGTATAGTACTGATTCTATTTTCAAAAATGTTTCACTGTTAAATATAGACAACATAAAATTGCTGCTGTACTGTAATTGAGTACTTTTCCTAAATGACCCTGTTATCACTATTCCAGAATTAGAAGTTGGGCAGATACATGATTGATTCATGTGTCTGCATAGATGCTTCAAGGTATATTCTTCTCTTGGTGAGTAAAAATATATTTTCCTTGGCATCAATGCATTGAGATCTGAATATACCTGTATCTATTCTTACTGCACATTTCTTATACAGTATCTTCTCATATGCCAAAATTGACCTAGGCACAACTAAAATTAAGGGTTTGTTACATGCTTTCTAACAGAAAGGTTTTCAATAATATAATGGGTTTATACTGTAAAAATAGTGGAACTCCCTTTAAAATTTCCTATTTGCTAAATTTAAATTAATATTTTTTCTTTAGCTCACAAATTGCCCTAAATCCAGAGAGAATATCAACCCTTTTCACTGTTGTCAAACCAAGCATAAGGAACAGCCCAATGATACTACAAAAACAGTTGAGGAGTAAGGAATAAAATCTCTAATGTTACACTCCAGAATAAAGACATTTGGTGAAAGAAATGAACCGAAGTTCATCATGAATCCAAGGCTTCTATACTTGGCATTCCTCCACGGAAAGGAAGACAAGTATCAACACCATTGGCATCATTTTCAAACTGATCTTATGTGGAAAACCTTCCACCACAGTGGAGTACTTCTTGACTCTTTCCAGATTTTTGGTTTCTTGTTTAATTCATCCAGCCTTTCCATTTTCAAACCACCATTTGTCAGCATTGAGGTACAAGACACGTAGATTTGAAAATACTTTCTCAAGAGATCATGTAACTATACAACTCTGAATTTAAAAATTGAGGGGGAGGGATCATTCAACCCAATGCCTCTTACAAGAAACATTTTTTTAAAATCTGTAACTGCTGTAGTGTTAACAGGGTACAAAGTGTTTTTTGTCTTGTATTGTACTTAAAAGGTTCTCATTGATTGTGATCGTATCGTACTGTATAAAAAGAAATCATAAATTGCCTTGTATTGTTTATAATAGACCATACCATGTAATACTTTGGTTTCCATGTTCCAAGTTTTTCAGTGATGCATGTTAACAGTTAGGTCCTAAAATTCTGTGGTGCTAATTCTTCCATATCCAATGGTGCTTTTGTGGATGCTAACTGCACACATGCTGAACAAAGCTTGAAGTTTAAAACTTTCCTCCCTTCCTCTGTTTATATGAAGTAAAATAAAATAACTTGAATTTGTCTCAAAGTATCATTGACAATCTAATAAACTGGTTTATATGTGTAATTATTCTGGATTCTTATTTTTCAGAAATAATTTGAGTTCTACTGGGCCCTAAATGTTGATCTTACCATGGGTTTATTCTGTTATTTCATTTGTGCCCTCAAATCTGTTGTATCTTTAGGAATTTAAATCCAGTTTCTCTGGCTTCTAAAATCATATTTAGGTAAGACTTATAAAAACTAGTCCTACAAGACGGAATTAAGTAAGTTGAGAATGTGACAAAAGAGTGTCTATTTATTGCTTTATTAATAATTTGTCATCTGGTTGAACTGGAAGATAACATTTGCATGAAAGCAAGTATGCTTTCAAAACCTTTATTTCAACTCAGATGACACTGAAAAGGCCATTCACATAGGTTCATATTTAAAGACAAAGTTTGGAGGCTGGGGAGTAGCTCAGTAGTAGAGTTATCTCCCTAGAATGCAGGATGCCCTGGTTTGATTCCCAGCACAGCAAAAAAATAAGATACAATTTTAAAATAAAGTAAGTTTCATTCCTCATGTATGAAAATAAGGACAAAAAATAAATTTGGAATGTTCCAGAACAAACTGGCTTCATGAGTCAGTGTAATAGATAGTCATGGCAATGGTTTTATGGGATTCTAAACTTCAGCATCTATATTAAGAATCACAGCAGTAGGGCACATGAAACTAAGAACAACTTCATGAGGGCAAAGAGCAGTTTCTCCCAAGCCAGAGATAAATTCAGTATTAAGGCAGTATGCAAATTTGCATTCGGACCTTGATATCTTGACTAACCCGAAGGCAACATTAAAATTTTAAAAGAAAAGAAAAAATGGAAACAAATGTATCAAAGCTCCTCAAGCAACAATCATTGACCTTAAAAAGAAGATGATCAAACTTTTCAGTCTAACCCACTGGGTCTGATAACTGAAAGGACATTGCCACACTACTATGGCTCTTTGTTGTAACAAGATTTTAAGGCACATAAATTTTGCCTCAAAATGTTATTAAATCATGTCTGACTTCTAACATCAGAAAATGAAGATTAGCGAATAAAGCCTATGAACAGTAGGCTTGCTTCCCTGACACCATCTTGAACAAATGCAATATTTACTAAACCATAGCTTCTCACAAAGATATTTCTACAGTATATTTTGGTAACTACATTTACAGCATTACATTTTATGAAAACTGGTGAATAATAAATGTAATACAAAATAATTCCACATTTTCTTTAATGAAAAAGATAAAGTGGGTAAGTTTATTAATATTTTAGAGAATTTTTATTTCTGTGCTATAAAATAGAAATAAAAATTCTAATTTGATGAAAGTGTGAGAGAGTAAATGAGTTGCTTTTGGGAGAAAATCTTTTTAATCTACAGGAAAAGATGTCTAAATTTAACTCCATAATCAACCAGATTTCTGTATTAATGTTCACTATATTGACTGTGCCATCTAAAAAGTTATTCTCAAAAAATTTTATCAGGGCTGGATTATGGCTCAGTGGTAGACCATGTGCCTGGCATGTGTGAGGCACTGGGTTTGATCCTCAGTACCATATAAAAATAAATCAATAAAAGGTATTATGTCCATCTACAACTAAAAAAAAATTAATTTTATCAGATTTTTGAAATTATTTTTAAAACTCATCAGCTTTAAATGAGTACACTCTGTAACTTTGGTTCATTTATGCAAATAATTCAATCCCTCTTTCTTTATAAAACCATGATTTAAGTTTTTTAAGTTATGCAATTATCTGTCTTTATAATTTTATCAATGTTATTTTGATAAGTTGTCTTTTCTGATCTTAAAAACAATAATTTCCCTTAGGGATCTTAAGTTCAAGATGATTTCCCTGAATCCTAGTAAGGAAAGCATTTTAAAAAAATCCATGTGTTCTCTACTGAGTAAAATATTTCAAAATAAATTATATGAAAACTGAAATACTAACCTTACTCATCTTAGGGAACTAATTTTTCTCATTAGGAGCTGCTTTGAGTTTGAAACAACCAATATAACAATAATCTTAAGAAACAAAAAATAGCCCATCTATATAATTTCAATTTTGTCTTCCTGTGTTCTTTTTTAAAAAGCTGTTGAAGCGGGTGCATAGTGATTCACACTTGGACTAAAGTTATTTTTCTCACTCTATCCTTGAGTGTGGGTGGATGTGAAAAGACTCCTTGAAAAAAAGTAGTGATACAATTCACATACAAAAAAGTGAGTAGTAGTTCATAGGGCTAAATAAATCATAAAATGCAGTGAGCTCAGCACTACACATATTCTCCTAAACTAGTCTCTTATATTCTGTGAATGATAAATAATGTTTATACTTCTTGCAAAGTATACTGTTGGCTATCATAAAAGGCAACAAAAGACTAGCTCACGAATGAATGAAAGGGTTGACTCTCAGTTTTCTGTATTTAGAAACTCAGTTTTACTAATTAATTCTGGACAATTCACAAGAGATTCTTTTTTAAAACAAGATCATAAAACAAAAATCTTGAGTACTGGATATCCAATGAAGAAACCAATTAATTAAGAACAAAAAACAAAGCTATGGAAAGAAGCTATATGTAAGAAGCTTCTTACACATAGCTAAACAAAGCTTAAACAAAGCTATGGAAAGAAGCTATGTGTAAGAAGTGGACTTAGAATTTTGATTTTATACTTGTTAATTTTTATTTATGGTAAACATGTATTATTTTATAATTTTAAAGATGACTTTGTAGAAGAAAAAATAATACTAGAAAAACTAAAAACACCAGAAAACTAGTCAGCATATTCTGTTTTCAGTAGGAAACCAACTTCTAAAGCTTGATTAACATCAGAATGTTGCTTGGAAAGTATAAAATCAGAAAGGAAATGAGTAATACTCATGACTAGCCTCCTGTTATGATGGGCTTCATGATGTAGACCTGCCAAGAAAGAAGAATATTCACTTCAGCTCATCAGAGCACAGTCACCCCAAGCCAGAGATGAAAACACTAACAAAACCTTATGCTTTCAATCTTTTTCTCTAGATTCCATATGATTCAGTGTGAAATCTATTTTTTAAATAATTAAGCCACAAATTTTCTTATATTTAGTATCACTTTAGAATTCTCAATGATATAATACCATTTCATAATTATCATTCATCATTAAATATTATTATTAATTACATATGATTATATAATCATATTGTACAATTCCATAATTATTTCATAACCATCATTATTAATCATTAACCATCATTATCATTAACCATGTACTATCATTATGGATGCCAGTCATCATCAAAAAGAGTTTAACATACAATAGCTCTCTGACCATAACCCTTCTTGATAGAAATTTCATCAGTTGTGATTAATGAAAGGCCAAGACCCTATTCCTTTGCCCTCATGGCGGACCTTTCCACCAGACAATGACATTCATTACAATGGAACAGATATGGCGCTAGAGTATTAACCCAGCATTTTCCTGGCAGCCATTACCAGTTGGCTATACTTAGCATGGCAAGATTGGCATATTTGCCATTCTATCTTAGATGTCCACCAGCACATATTCAAGCCACCTGTGTTAGTCTAGGTCCTCTTAGAAACAGATGCCAAGATGGGATTAGATGTGCAAGTGATTTATGAAAGGAAATACTAGAGAGGGAAAATGAACAAGGGGTTAATGGAGGTGCCATCAGACTATGATGCAGTTCTGCCCCTGTGAAGAAGAAAGGAAGCTACAGAGGGAGAAAAGAAAGCAAGAAGGGAATAAAGAAGTTATTTCTAGACCAAGTGCTGTTCTAAGCAAGTTTCAGCCAGGCCTATGGGGAGTGCTTGAGCCATACTAGCCCTTTAGAGAAGGCCAGCATCTTGCAGGTACAGGCCTACTTGGTATTCCTCTTACAGTCATTGATGAGGAGCAGTCTAAAAGAAGCACACCCTCAGTGTAAAGGCAGTGATAGATTTCAGAGCTCAGAGGCTGGGTCAGTGGGTCAATTAGGTGGAGATGTGGATCTGTACAGTGCAAACTGGAACTTGTGGTGGCTATAAAAATATTTCTTATATTTCCTACTCTTTCTATTGACCCACAGATTGTTTTTGCATTTTGTGAGACTGGCTTCTAGGTAATGTAGTATTTGTGTTTGAAGGCCTATACCATCTACATCCTTTGCTGTGAAGTGGATCCCCTAGTTATGCATTGTCTCTGCTACCCTGTCTACTCTGTTCATATATCCATTATGCTAATTCTGAGATGGCCAATGGCAGTAAGAGTCATGTCCACTGGCTGTTCAGTGTCTTGGTTGTTCAGTGTCTCTTCCTTGATGAATATTAATATTCACAGTTTGTACCCATTCCCATAGGTCCACCCACAAGCCTCTACCTCACACCTGTTTGTCTTGATCTTTCCATCCTTTTTCTTTCAGGCTCCTGACTAGATGGGAAGGTCATTAATCACTACCCAGGAACTAGAGATTTTTTTTTTTTTTAATCTCAAGACACCTCTTCCATACAAAGTGGTTCAGTGCTTCCATACCAGGTGCAGTACTTCCATACTGGTGCAGTGCTTATCCTCTCCCCATTGAGAAGATTCTCACTCTGTACTGTTTTTCAAGGTCATCCTACCCATTTTCAGCCGGCACTCATATACTGAGCTACTCCATCCATAAACCAAGCCCAGGATTTTCCTTCTTCCTTCAGTTGATCATATGGGAACTTCCACATGGCTATCCATATGAGATGACAGAGGGTTGCTGGCAGTTTGGGCAGCCTATCCATACCCTGAACTCATGGATTCTGGTCCTGCTCAGTCTTGATCTTGGATGTACCAAGATATGATCATGGATTACAGGGCCTATTCAACTTTATGACTTGAAGAGTTCCATAGAACCCAAGTCATAATGGGCAATTCTGTACCCATAGTCTAGAATATTTCCACCAGACACTTTAATTGCTATTTCTTGAAAGGTGTTTATTCCTTCAGTGATTGGCATAACCTTATTCAAGGATCGCAGGGACTGCATTAGGGGAGCTAATTCTCTCCCTGAAACTTGCCATAAGCTCC